AAACGCTGATGTGATAATACAAAATATGATCGGCAAAATGATCGACATGTGATATAAGTATGTCCACCCTGCTATACTGAACTCACATTCTATCAACAAATTTCACCTTACAAATAACTTACATAGCAACTATATTATTTAATACTGCCCAAACTTTACCAATTTCCTATTATTCAAATACAAATTTTCCAATTCATAATTATCATGGTGTTAATGCTTCTCTTCTTAAAACAATCTGTAAAGAACTATTTATGATAACTTTAGCTAATAGTTATAATTTAATAAAATTAAGCTGGAAGTTAACAACAAATTTAATTAATAATAATACAAATCTTATTGAAAGTTTGACAATTAATTCCTATAATGCAAATATTTCAGAAAAATATTACCGAAAATTTAATCAAGTATTGAGTTAGATTTAAAGAATACTAAAAACTATATGCAAGCTATTAAAACATTTATTGAGTTAGCATAATTTTTTTTTAAAATAAATAAATGAATTTATTTAATTTTTAGTAACTTACATTTTTTCTTTTAAGATTACCAGAAACTAAACAATATCATGAAACATATTAATTCCTCTTCCAGCTGATTTTCCAGGCCAGCTATTTATAAGCAGAGCAATCATAAACAAATTGGAATTTGGATCTGAATCATCTATACAAAAAGAAATTACACACTTGATTCCATTTATGGGACCTCTTCATGTATTACTTAACACATGTGAATCAGTATTTATTAAATTCTATTCTTTTTTTAATTGCATGTACAAATCAGTTTTTGAAAAGACTAAGAAGCTATTGGCAAAACCTAAACCATAGAGAATTAATTTATTATTATATTAGCACATAAAGGTTGGCTTTTAATAAAAAAATATGTTGTGAAAAAATTTGGAATATCTAAAGTTACTTTGTATATTACCTTTCTTGACCTATTGGATAATCTAATACCAGTAACTTTGGATATATACACCTATTTATTTCAGAACAACAAATTTGAAGAATATGTTGATACAATTTTCCATTTGTGGATCACAATGCGCAGATTTTACAGACATAATTATGACAAAATTGTGCTAGCATTTTTGTCAGATATTTGCTATTGGAAAAAAATTCAACATTCAATAATAAATACTTTAGAAACGCATTTGAATATCTTTAATGAATATCCAATTTAAAATTTTCATAGTTTATTATATCGTCATACTAGTGTAAAAGTATCAACTGGAAAATCATTAAGACGAGATGCATTGTTTTTAGATAATTGTCACCATGAAGATTCATTTGTAAAATCTTTTGAGCCAAAACGTGATTATCCCTATTCAAAAAAAAAGACCTTGAGGATTTAGTTAAATTATCAGCTATTTTTCATTTGGAATTTTTTAATAACTTATGGAAATGCCCTAATAAAGCCGAATTAAAAAGGAAGGGAAAAGAGTTAAAAAAGATTATTGTTACTTTCCTGGTATTGAAGAATGATTTTCTTTTGGTGCTTTACCATTAGGATATTATTCAAAACACCAACCAGCAATTGATAAATTGTGTGATCATTCAGAATGCATAGACCTGTTATGGAATGATGGTTAGGTGTTAATTTGTGGACATAGATATCATAAAACTTATTTTCGCATTTTAGGCTTGCGTTGTTCACATTGTTTTAATTACCTTTCTGATTTAATTGAGGAATTATTACAATCTTACAATTATAGATTACAAATAAATGGAGATATTGATAACTTGACAGATTCTCAAGTGCAAGATGATGATGATTAATTAGACAACATTGAGACTATATCAAAACAAATTGGAATTGATATAGAATTAAAGAAAAAATATCTGGTAAGTTAGACTATTGCTCTTCTAGTTTCAATTTTAATCTTACGATCATTATGAAATTTTAACAGAATTTGTTGAAAGTTGCGTACTGGTCAAAAGCATTGAATTGTTACCAATTTCTGATTTAACACTGAAGGATATTACAAATATAACTGGTTTTAAACAGTTCTGAAGGTTCATTATATACTGCTTGTACTGTTAATCTGTTATACACTTTTTTTGGTTTAACTATTCTACTATTAAAGCTAAATTTTGACTTTATGATAAAAATTTCACTTTTTTTACTGTGTTATAATTAATTTTATTGGATTATTATCACGTGATTAAATAAACCAATGAAATAAATTTTTAATTTTCCTAATTTTATTGGCCGATTAATGTTGATCACCATGTGAAATTATACCAATAAACAGATTTTTAACTATGCTTCAAGGCGTTTAAACATGCATGATTAAAAAAAAATGCGTTACACAATTCTCACGTTATGATCATTAAGTGCCTATTTCAATCCGAAAATGTCATCCTTACAAAAGACAAGGATAATAACATTTCTAAAAGCCTTCGGCGCTTGATTTTTCTAAAAAACATTGTATAATAATACTATATTCTATTCAGATCGTCGATCAGAACTTTCCGGAGTTTCTTCCCCGTCTAAAGAAGGAGCAATTGAAAAATATATATATATTGATTTCAAAACCTTTTAACAAATTACCAATCTTAATTTTATTGAAAATTCTTTTTATATTGTGAAAACAATGATATAGTGTAGTAAATAAAATAAATTAAATAAAAAAGAGAGAGATGATTCTGCATGATTTAATTCGCGGTCGCTGGTAATTTACTACTGTCCGATCATTTCTGAAAAAAAAAATTTCATATCGGAGGATATTATTTCAAATTTACCGTAACATTAAGAGAATTTAATGTAATAATGTAGTAAAGACACAAAAATAATTATAGAATAGTCTTATAAGGCGAGTTAGGGTAAGATGAAATCTTTTTTTATTTATTTGCACGACATTAATGTATAGTACCTTATAGATCAATAATTTGCCAATAACATCGATATTTAAATAAAACAAATATGAAGTCAGTTAAGATAATGTCCATGAAAATGACCTTGAAATGACCTCAAATGTCAAATTTGTTATAATTTTCAAGTCGAAATAATCGTTTTTGAAACAAAGTAAATAAAGTAAATGATTATTTCGAAAGAAAGAGTTATTTAAAAAATATCATACGTAAATCATTAATATAAATCCGGCAATTTTTTTTGACGTTTACGTTTTTAAGTTATACCCTTCATTATATAAAACGGCCTGAAATTGCTAAGTTAAGTTTTACGTCAATTTATTCTGTTAAAATTGGCGTAACCAATTAAAATGGTTTACGTAATGGCTACTTTAAAAAAAGTTATTTTTATAAAGTTTGTCGATAGATGGAGTATGTGCATACATGTATATTGAAGATTTTTGTTATACTTTAAAAATATTTATCTTTAATGTGCACGTGCCGCAAGTTTACTTAAATATTTAACTCAGTCATTCCTTTATATTATACTGATTAAAATAATTCCAAAGAAGGAACTACCACCTATGAAAAAAATGGATATCGGAATATATTATAATATCACAAACCGTCCAGAACCTTTTCTTTTCGGCACACTTTTCGAATATCCGGAGGTAATCAATTTTCTACCGATATAATTGTAAAATCACAATATCAAAGGCATTCACTGTAAAAAACAATAAAAATAAACAGATTATTATAATTAAATTCGAAGCGATGCGATGTCATGCAAAATGTTTTTTGTTGTTATAGAGTACAATTGTGAGTATTTGTCGCAGTTGTCACGTGAAAGTTAATTTAAACCAATTTATTTATATAGGGCTAAATATAAAGCAATTAACCTTTATGTTTAAATGGGTTTCAAGCTTAAATATTCTACTTTATGAATGCATAGTAAGAATTTACCGATGCAAGATTTAAAATAACACCACAACATGGCATTGACTGCGCCTGAGAATTCAATTACAAAAACTTTAAAGTGATTACAGTATTGTGTAATTGCAGCTAAAATTTTATGGAGTAACGTTTGCAAAATTTCTGCACTATATCTCCTTCCCGAAGAACCGAAAGGCTATTATTTATTTGCACAAAATTAAAAAAATATTATGCATCGTTTTGACAAGATGGGCGTTATGCAGTAGAAAGAGAGAAAAACTCTAAAAATAAAATTTTTAAATAACGTTTAATCTGGACTTATTTTACTAAAAATCTTATTTACTTATTTAGCATATAAATAAGGTGGTTTTTGTTTTTTTTGTTGTTTCCTACTTACTTTCAACTGTCAAAGCGTCCAAATGATTTACGATTATGGAGTGAATCTCGGTTGTGTAACATATGAGAATTTTTTTACTACGATGTGCCATTTTTACATTTTTAGATTTTAAACAACGGTTCTCGAGTTTCATACAACTGAGAGTTGTGCGCCTTTAAACGATGCCACGGTTCACGTGATGACTAAAATTCTTATATAAATTTGACCTTTTTGCACATTTAGATCTATCGCTATTGGTAAAAATTTGAATTACCAAACTTTATTTTTTTAAAAAAATTATAAAATTACAAAATGCCACCACAACTTCACTACGATATCATTTGGGATATCTTTTTGTGTCTAGATGAAAAAACCTTATTTACATGTTTATTTCTTAATAAATATTGCCATGAAATAGCAGCTAATTTTTTATGGAGGGACGTTTGGAAACATTCTGAGTCATATTCACCGAATGTTTCATCAAAGATTCTCATTACCTTGAATGCATGCCTTGTCAAAGAAGCAAAACAAAATAAACATAGCATAAATTATGAGAAGTTGAATTATGCATCGTTTTGCAAAGTGATTTCAATTCCTGATATTGATATTGATCCTGGACTTTTTAAACAACTATCTATAAATTGTCATAACTTTCAAAAATTAGAAGTAGTTATTAAAGAAAGCAATGTGGATTGGTTAATAGAATTTATTTCTTTGCAAAATAATTTGTCAAATGTGCAATTAATACAAAACTCTGATTCCAAGGATTGGACAAGGATTATATCTTCATTAACGATACATTTCCCTAGGATAACTAAATTATATCTAGCTGCAATTGCAGAAAATGCACCAACTTTGACGTTTTTAGAAAATTTGAAAAATTTACGAGTCCTTTATTTATCATTTGATTTCAAAGATGCTTTTTGCGATTTCGAAAAATTAAAAAATGTTAGGTTTCCTCAATTAAAATTCTTGGCATTTTTAAGTAAATGTCCAAAAACTGAAATATTAATCCAATTTTTAAAAACCAATGAGAAGAGTTTAGAAAATTTGTATATAGAAAAAAGTGATGTTAATTTAGAAATATCTAACCTTTGTTCAAAGTCAAATATTAAAATCGATGAATTTTGCCCAAAGTTAAGATAGTTTGATAATTATACTTCAAAATTATATTAGTTTATTATGATTTCTATTTCATTATGTATTCTTATTAATTTTTATGTTAGATTTTCAATTATGATTTATTAACTTTAAACTTAAGATTAAGATTTATTTTAATTCCAGCCAATATGCGGACGACTTCTTTTATGTAAATTAAGATTAATATTTTCAAAAATTATGAATAAAACTTCTATTTTATATTTTTTTTTGTTACAAACACATATACTGTATCGTCAATTATACGCTAATAAAAATAACACGTGGTTTTGGTTGATCAATACACACGATAAACGATCCCTGAAAACTTTGGTCTATACCAGCAGGGTGGACATACTTATATCACATGTCGATCATTTTGCCGATCATATTTTGTATTATCACATCAGCGTTTG